CGCTGGGAAGGGTTACTGCAGATAAAATGTCCACCAGCTGTTTCTCCTCCGCTGAGGTCAATGCTCTGGGAACAAAGTACCAGCAACTTGGAGAGGGGAGAAATTAGTATTGAGACGGATGGACCGTGGGGGAGCTGGGAAGCCACAGGACGGGTCACCACGGGAAAACAGTATAACCCTTTAGATGTCTAAGAACTAAAGGGGCTAGCTTTAGACTGGGGTTGTTCTGATGGGGCTTGCAAATACCCTCGTGGGGCCAAGCTCCCAGGCAACTCTAAAGTTTAAGACTGACCACTTGAGTCTCTTGGCAGCAGGAAACGTGAAGGAATGCTGAAAGTGGTCTCTACCTTCAAGGGGCTTGTACTTCACCACCGGTCTTCACGGAAATCGCTGTTTGGGCCGAGCGGCCACAGTAGGCTTGACATAGAGAAGGGTTGGACTGCTGGTGGCCGATGTGGACAGATGCATTTGGGACACACAGACTGGGACAGAAGGGAAGGCATCCCAGGCAATGGCAGCTACAAAGTCCAAAGTCCCCTTTGGTTTACTCTGAAGCGCCACACTGGGACACTGCCTTGATCCAAGTTACACTTTCATGAGGAAGGGCAGACCGCTGGGGAAACATGCAGGAGCAAGCTACTCCGTTTGTCTTTCCTCCTAGTTCCCTGTGTAGCATAGTCAAGCGCCAGGCTTCGGGAAAGCTACCGAGGGAGTGCGCACAGAGGATTATTACATCAACTGCAAAGCAGGCACTCTGAATGAACGTGATGGCGCATGGCTGTACCACCAGCCTCTGGAAAGAAGAGGCAGATCAAGGGCACCCTTGGTTACACGACATCCAGATTAAAAAACAAAATCAAGACGGGAAACATACGACACCCTTGTTAAGCCTCTGACAGCAGGCTATAGTTATGTATTTAGGAATATATATGCAAACCATTTAAAAAAGAGGCATGATTTGAAGGAGAGCAAGGAAGTGTGTATGGGAGAGCTTAGAGAGGAAAAGGAAAGGGTAAAGTTTCTAGTGGGGGATTATTATTGCCAAGAAAGCAAATTAATTAACAAGTGGATTATTTTGAGTAGTATTTGTCAAGCACCTAACTGCACATGCTCCTGTGTTCTTGGTGTTTGGGACGAACAAAAGACACAGAAAGAGGTGTACAATGCTAGGGTGCTTTTAATTTCAACACACCGATCCTGCTTCCTTTCCGTAAGTAAGCATTTGATACGCATGTTTACTTACGAGACGGTAAAGTAAATGGACATGGAAGGTGCTGAGGGGCCATTAAGGTACTTGCTGCCAAGCCTGGTATTCAATCCCCAGAGCCCAGCTCATGAAGACTGTCCTCATGCACCGTTTGAACAAACACAACAATTATTGTTAAAGGTGTGCATCAGAGAGACTGCTCGGTGACTAAGTGTGTACTGCTCTTCCAAAGGACCTGAGTTCAGATCCCAGAACCCATGTCAGGTGGGCTTATAACTGCCTATAGCTCCACATCCAGGGGTTCCCATGATCTCTCTTGGACTCTGCGGGCACTCAGGTTGCCCACACTCAAGACACATGGAGAGGCTGGTTATGATGGCACACACCTTAATTCCAGCACCAGAGAGGAAGAGGCAGGGGAAATCTCTGTGAATTCCAAGCCAGTCTAGTCTAGAGTAAAACCCCGTCTCAAACAAGCAGACATTCATATACGTAAGTTTTAAAATTACACAGAGAGACAGAGAGAGGTGTTTATTTCACCACCTTAGAGAAAAGTGTATATTAAGGAAACACTGGTAATGCTTTCAAGAAGACGACTCATATACCTCCACATGCAGTTTTGTTGTTTTTCGAGACACGGTTTCTCTATTGCGTTGGAGGCTGTCCTGGAACTCACTGTGTAGACCAGGCTGGCCTCGAACTCAGAGATCCTCTGCCACCCGAGGGCTGGAACTAAAGGCGTGCACCACTAACACCCAGCTTTGTTTTGGTTTTAATGGGAGCATTTGAGTAGAGGAAGACAGGAACCAGCAAAAACCATGAGAAATAAGGGAACTGCTCTTCAGGAAGAAGCATTACTCGGGGTACCTAGAGACATGTGGTGGCAGCTGGGCTCCCCGTTCTTGAAGACTGAGCGAAAACAGCAGCACGAGCTACAGGGCCACACGTCTTCTCCTGCTGCAGTCATTTCGACAGCACACGCTACGGCCCTCAGCAGTCAGAGGGAATCTACACTTAGGGCAGAACAGTGAAATATACATGAAAGCACATGTGAATTCAAGGTGCACAGGGAGTGCGAGCATCACCCCTGATGAAATCTCCCGGCTGTTCTTTTGCAGTCTGGTTTGTGCCCCTCACCCACCCACAGCCGATGGCGCCTGGCCTTTACTCTTCTGGTCTTAGAGGGCTCTATCCCTTTTGGTTCCCTGCAAGCAGCACCACGTTGTCCGAACGAGGCACTAGAGATGAAATCATCCATTTTCAATCTCCTTTCATGTGTTGGGATGAAGTTTTCTAGTGTGAAACCTATTACTTTTAATTTTTTAAGACTTATTTTAATGCTTGAGAGTTTTGTCTGCCTGTATGTGCTTCTGGTGCCCCCAAAGTTAGAAGAGGGTGTTGGACTGGAGCCAGGGATGGCTGTAACCATGTAGGTGCTGGGAACTGATCCTGGGTCCTCTGTAAGAACAAGAAATGTTTTTAACCACTGATACATCTCTCTAGCCCTGTTTACTTTTCTTAAAGCATTGCTACAGTGGGCCCCAGGGGGGAACCTGCTCAGCGGTGCCACCTTCAAAGGGGACATTCTGCTCACGGGATGTGCTTAGAAAGAAGTGCAAAGCTATTCTAAGTCTCTTAGTCGCCGCTCTTGCCTTACAGAGGTCAGGAAAACACACTTTAGTGTTGAATGTTATTCACCCTTTTGAATTCTTTTCCATCCAGCGTCGATTTCTAAAGCACTAAAAACAAAGTTCGAGGACAATCTTATCTCCTGGGTTAATTTTCTTCCACCGAGAAAACAAGCGGGTCACATCACGTCACGCTCACACCCGCGAGGGGCTTGTGGCTCCCCCCCCCCACCTTCATTTTGTATTGTGCTCACCCAGTCTGCTGCTGCTCTCAAGGCAGCCAGACGCCTAAGCCTCACCTTATCGGTGACTCTGGCTATTCTGGCTACTCATGTGTAACTCGCAACATCAGTCACTTCTGATTGCCTATCTGGAACCTGAGTGACAGGCTACCCTTCAAAGAAAGATGGCAGTTGAGACACACACACACACACACACACACACACACACACACACGCACGCACGCACGCACGCACGCACGCACCACAAATTTCGGGGAACAATTCAGGGAAAAAGATTTTGAAGCAAGATGAGCCAACTTGTGTGGCGACAGCCTTCTCTAAGACTGAGGAATACATGCAGATGTAGGCAGAAACAACACATCTGCAGATGCTGGCAGGCAGCATCACTCGACAAATACCCCCCCCCCCTTTAAATAACTCTACAGTGATGTATTGGGCTGCAATTACATAAACAGAAAGTACTAGGACCTAAGCCTACAGGTTCTGTGGGTCTCAAGACTTCATGCAATCAATATTCTGACATCTGTAACGCAAATTTGTCCCTACAGTGCTGATGCCAGAAACTAAGGGATTCAACATTACTTGATGAGTTCTGTTCAGAAGTTGAAACAAACTCAGTTGGATTCTTTAGCGTAACAACCCTTGCGCCACTTTTTATTTACTTTTCTTAATTTGGGTCATTAAGAAAACATAGTCGTCTCCTTATTAGGGAAAGTTTCATTAAAAGGGCTTGGGATACAGCTTGTTTAAAAAAACAATACTTGTAGCCATGTTAATAGTTCTAAATGTCTGGAAGCCTGTTAAACAAAAACAACCTTAACAATCTGAAGTTCAAGCAGTAAGAATTTTTAAAAAGTTGGCCATGAAGAGTAGTCAAATATTCCAGGAACTTTTATAGCAGGAAAACATTCCGCCTCTTTGAGACAGTCTTGCTTATGAAGCCCAGGCTAACCTTGAGCTCACTGTCCTGTGCCACTGTGCCCGACACAGCCTTCTTAATCTTTCCTTAGAAATGACTGTTTTAGGGAAGTATGAAGATGGTGTTATCACAAAGGAGCTGGGGAGATGACTCAGTAAAGGTTTCCCACTTAAGCACAAAGACCTGAGTTCAGATCCCCAGAACCATCATACAAAGCTGGGGTCAATGGTGGGCACCTGTAATCTCAGCCCTGAGAAGGCAGAAGAAGGCAGGTCAACCAAGACCTGTCCTAAAAGAGGTTAAGACAACAGCTCTGGAGCCGGGCGTTGGTGGCGCATGCCTTTAATCTCAGCACTCGGGAGGCAGGGGCAGGCGGATCTCTGTGAGTTCGGGGCCAGCCTGGTCTACAGAGCGAGTTCCAGGACAGCCTCCAGAGCTACACAGAGAAACCCTGTCCTGTCTCCAAAAAACAAACAAAAAACAACAACAGCTCTAAGTGTTCAGAGACTGCTGCTGCCTCTCTTTTACCCTCTGACTCTCCTGAGGGTCAAAGTTGATTACTGAGGTAATGTTTTTGAAATATCTGGGAACTAGGTCAAAGAGCACATTGCCACAGACACTTCCATCTTCTCCAGCTTCACCCAGCTAGACGAGTATTTGTACATCTGTTTCCCTCTACATAGTGGAGGAGGATTGCATATAAGCTCAGAAGGAGTAAAACTAATTCTACTTTAATTTGTTTACAGACAAGGTCTCATTATATAGCCCTCGCTAGCCTGGAATTCATCCAGACCAAGCTGGCTTTGAACTCGAGATTTGTCTGCTTTTGCCTACCGAGTGCTGGGGTTGAAGGTGTGTCCCACCACATATGGCTGGAAGGAAAAATGTAAAAGCTGTTTTGTTTTCCTCTTCACCACTCTTTGGCTCAAGCAACCTGGGCAGACGATGGACACATACCACATGTGCTTGGCTAAGCTGCCATTCTTTAAAGGAGTAGTCTAACGTAAGAATCTAAAAGGAAATGTTTATTATTAAATACATAGACCCAAAACATTCAAGCTTAAAAAAAATACAGCATGAGACAAAGTGTGTACACACATTGATCTATCAGGGTTCAAAACAGGAAAGTGAATATACTGATGAGCTGTGATTGTACGAGGGGAACTCTTCGGCAAGTCTGTCCTCCTGACCCCTGGGAAGCCGTGCAAACCCTTTGCTACTTGGTCTACGTCATTATCTTCCCTCCCAACCCACCTGACAGTGCAGTAGCCACTCCTCTCTGAGCAAGGTCAACTTAGGTCAGAAATGCAGAAGTCTGGGCACTCCCAGCAGACAAAACCCGAAACGTTCCCAGTGGTACCCTCACCTTGCCCTGCGCAATCACCTAATTAAATAAACTAAGATAGTGTGAAAAAGCAGCTGTACGAGAGAAAGAAACACTCCTGCCTCGTCAACAATATGGGCAGTATTAGGTTCCCAATACAAACAAATGCACCTAACGGAGAACCAGAAACTGTGCAGTAAGCACCGTGTCACTTACAAGACATGCCGGTATTAAGTGGTGTCACCCCCTACATGCCTGCAGTAATTGTTTGTGTTTATAGGCAACCTATAGGAAAGACCGCTGTCTCTCCTACACACCAGCAAGAGCAGCTCCACGTGCACACAGCACAGACCACACACATCTGCAGTCTCTTCCACTCATTTGCTCCCTGTCATTTCTGTTCCTTGAACCCGTGCGTCAGGCTAAGGCTGCTCTGGAAGCAGGGAAAACCAGGGACCAAAAGATCTGACTCTAATTGGTGGTTTAACTCCAAGATCACACAGAGGCCTCCCCCTGGATCTTGAATAATCCCCCATGTGCATACAATCTGACATCACAGCAAATACTGTAACTTTAAAATAAGTTATTCATCCTTCCCTGGACTTGGATGCAACAAGAACCTGTGATTATCTACCCCACCTCACAACACACAGCAGTGAAGGCAAATGGAAAACCACCTCAGGAGCTCATATCTTTAAAGAAAGGATGCAATAAGGCTGCCTCCGCTGTTATCCTTGAAGCTGGGTTTAGATCCAGAAGTTTGTCAAGCAGGTCATAGGCTTCATCAGGTACTGCGTCCCAGCCTTCCAAGTTGGCTGTGCACTCCCTGGGCCGACTCCCACAGTCATCGCTGTCCCCTTTCCACGAGGAACCCTCGGAGTGCTGTGCTGGAGGCGGCTGTCCCCAGGAAGCAGCTCTATGGTCAGCGTTCTCTAGAGAGGCGCCCCCTGGTGAATCAACTGCTAACTTGGGAATGGTGGGGTCCAGACCCCTTAGTCTCTCACACAGTTTCCTCAAGTCTTGTGCTGGGACCTCTCTGCTACACAGAACTGATTTGCCTAAAAGAGAAAAAGAATTACCTGAATATTATCAGAAGCAACTCATGAGGAAGCAACACACTAGTCATGTGCCTCATGAATGTGTTCACCGTTCATACTCTAATATACTCACTAGGCGAGAAAAAGGACGAGGTGCTCAGCAATGGAAAGAGAAAAGAAAGAAATTAACACAAACCAGGCTTAGTGAGAATATCTGAGTCCATTTGTATTTTTAAAACTCACTTGTACCTTTGCTAGGAAATTCTAGCCAGGGGACAGCCTTACACTTTTATCCCTAAATTTATCAGCTTGCTCTGGGATCCTAAGTAAGTTAAAGGTCAGCAAGTCCTAGCTACACGAACACACACATCTTAGCACACATGTTAGTAGTGAGGGAAACAACCTAATGAACACATTTTTTTTTTTTTTTGCTCAAAGTTTTCTTTGAATTTATTCAATACAATTCAATGAGTATTCAACAACTGCCTACAACGCGGGAGGCGGCGGACAACACTGGTAAGCCAGCACTCTGTCACGAAACAGCGCGTCTGTGGACACCAAGTCTTTCGCACCCTGCTCAAGTTTGTAAGACCTGTTTGAAGTAACTCTATTATAATAACTCTGACTTATGAGGGAAAGAAATCCAAGCTTCTCAACAAGATGTTTTGGTACTGGCTGACAAACTCCAGATCCCCAACCTTCTCGTGAAGCTGTTTAACAGGAGGTGGATAGCTTTAAGTAGTCGAGAACAAATGTAAGCATGTCCTATTCTTTGTACTGTAATCCTAACGTCAGGACAGCAGCACCACCACCTCCTGGTGGGTATTAGTTCAGCTTATTAACACTGAAAACTAACAGGTAGACAGACACTAACTGCAGAGTCAGCGTTGCTGACTACTTTTTGGCAAATCTGTTTTGAGAGTCTTCTAAAGACCACCATACAGTTTTTCTGGTACACTGGACCTTGGCAACTGTGCTCCAAAGCAAGGGCATTGTAACAGTATTCTAGGCAGAAGCAGTCCTTTCTAATTAATTTTCCTAATCGTCCTTTCCATGTAGACAGGGTCGGGGCTCAAGTATGTGCCTCTTCAGTTGTCAGTCAGTTCTGACAGGTCTTCCTGCTTAAGAACCCCGGGTTACTCCTGAGGTAGGCCAACTGAATGACTGAGCATATCACGCACTGACTGATGTACACCTCGATGGGAAGTAGCAACTAGCACAATACTGGAAGAATAGACACGCGATGGGGTTTGAGTTTTCATGAGGCTGAAGTAATTCTGAGGCACCCCAAAGAATGCATTCGCTTAGTCTTAACCTGTGCTGCTAATATTTAAGCTCCTAAGTTGGGTGTGGTAACACATCTGTAATGGAAACACTCAGGAGGCAAAGGCAGGAGGATCTCTCTGAGTTCCAGGCTGGCTTGGTATGTAGTCAGTTCCAGGCCAGCCAGAGGCATACAATGAGACCCTGTCCCAAAAAGTAAAGAAATTACATATACTACCTGTTTACTTCTTTATCACCCTAACCCCAAGGAAAGTACAGACTAGCAAGTATATATTCCTATTACCTTCCCTTACAGTAGTCCTCACTTCAGTGCCAAGTACCTGATCCTTTATAGCAGAGTAAGATTTACTATTAGAAACATTTATATATTAAAAGTCAAATTACAATCTAAGAGTTAAGACTGCAAAGCTGATTTCTTCTAGCTAAATGACAAAGAAATGTAAAATTCAGCCTTTAATACTTTCAAGCAAGTAAAAATTTCTGAAGAGTTGATGACTTTATGAATACAGAATAAGTTTATTTGCAAGGAGAATTTTGTAACTATTTAGCAATTTATAGGTGATAATCAAAAACATCTGTGTTGTTCTAGGATATAAAACTTACCAAAAGCTTTAGCAGCCTGGATAGTTTCCCTGGATCCTCGAATTGTCATGATTTGAGCCAGAGCGGTTAAATCATCGCTGGCCTTGTAAAATGGGTACCGCCCACTGAGCAGGGAGAGGAGTATGACACCTGCAGACCACATGTCAATGGCTGCAATAGAAAACAAACTCTGTGAACGTGTGACCATCTAAACCAGTAGCTGCAGACCTTTACTTCCAACTAACACCATCTTAGAAGCCTTAAAGGCACGACACATAGGCTTGATCCAACGGAATTCTCATCAAGTAGTTCTGGAATAGATATTTAAGTTTCTTGGGATATTTTAATGTATAACCACAACCCTAATTCAACTTTCTTTCTGCAAAACAGATTTCTCTCTCGAACACACTGGTGAATCCGAAAATTTAAGTAAATGCACATTTTATAGGACCAAAGGAAATTCAACAATAGCTACATAGGAAGACTAGGTACAATTTTTAAGACGGCAGCTCGGTAGTGGCGGTGTTCTCCTTTGAATGAGAACAGCACCAGAATAAGCCTGACTTGAGTCTTCCTCCTAACCGTCCTAGTATTAAGTTATTGCTGTCCCCCTGGCCACTCACTTTCTTAGTTTCATTTTACCACTGTCTGCCCCTTCAATGTCATCTCCTCCACCCTGTGCTGAGATTCCCCGGAATTCTGATTTCTTCCCTGCATATTCTCCCTCAGAATTCCATCTACTTTATAGCCACAACTATCATTTGTACGTTTGAGCATTAAGCTCAACCAAGTTCCCATTCCAGCTCCTTCCCCAAGCTTCAGACTTAATTTTCACTCTGCAGGACATTCTATTTAGATGAGCCATAAATCTCAAGCCAGCTACGCTCAGTGCAATTTTACCTTCCCTATGAACCAGGCTCTCCTTTGTTCTCTCTTGTCTCCAGGCCCACGTCCACGTCCCTCAGGCCAGTGATGTAAACACCCTGGATGCCTTTCCCCTCAGCACCCCACGCACCATTTTGACAGCACCTACTAAGCTATGCGTGTCAATTCCTTAACTTTTTTTCATTCCTGTCACCAATGCTGTCATTCATGCGCTCCTCACCTCTCACCTGGATACTAGCCTAAAGAATCTGTGCTTCCTGCACATCTGCAGTGACCTCGAATGCAACCCTTACTGTCTGTGCTTCCTGCACATCTGCAGTGACCTCGAATGCAACCCTTACTGTCTGTGCTTGCATGGCGTCTACGGTCCACAGTCCAAGAGGTCCAACAAGTGTAGCCTGTATCTTCCCAGTGCTTCTGATCATCTCCTCATCTCCGTTTACACTAAGCAACACTAAATTTATGGTTTCCTCTACAGTTAGACTATGCTGTTTCCTGAGTTTCTCAGGTCGTGATCAATGCCAATCTCCTAATTTCCTCAGAGGTCCTCTTCTCTATGAACTTCTTTTCACAACCCCTTTGGGTAAGAACAGATGCCCCTCAATACCCTGCACAGTTTTATCACCAGATCCAACAAGTCATTTTGTAATTGAGACCATGTGTGTCCTAACTATAGTATGAACAGATAGTGGGACTTCTTGTGCTACATACCTGTGGTTTGGTTAGGACACTTTGTCAGGACCTCTGGTGCTCTGAATCCTGGTGTGCCTGCCCGAGGGGCAACCTGCTGCCTCCTACAAGGGACAAGTAAGACATCCAGTTATGTTAAAACTGAACTATTGGTGGGGCATGCCTTTAATCTATCCTAGCTTGGGAGACAGAAGCTAGCCTGGTCTATACAGACAGAGCTCCAGGACAGCCAGGGCTACATAGAGACAAACAAACCACCAAAAACAAAACAAAAACCAAAACACTAAACAAAAAAAATGTTGAACTATGTTAAGTCTAAAAATAAGCTATCAATGTAGTTCGCATAAAATTCTGTCCTGGTGTCAATATAAATAAAATTGTTATAAGTACTAAAAACTAACTATGATAATATTCTTCTCTATTTTACTTTCATTCTCCCCCACCAACTCCCACACCCTGGCCTTATCCCAGACAGATTTTTAACACAATTTCCAAGTATAAAAACAGATGGCAGATAATAAAAACTGTAATAGAAAAACAGAGCACAACAGGAGTTTATATAAAAATTCTTTTGTTTGGGGATCTTGAGTTACTGATACACTCACTCATGTGTAGATTTGAGTTAATCAGGAAGAATCTATAAAAACCAAAACTCCAAGCAGAGAGCGAAGCCTTATTATTTGGTCCTTGCACAACAGCTTGTGCAAGAAGTGTCTCCAAGGGTGTCTTCCACCCACCCTTAGTTGCATGTGAGAGCAGACGTGTTTTCCAGAGAAAGTGTCTTCATCAAACGAGTATGTGACAACTGTTGTCCAGGGTGTTGCTGTGTGCCAGGGCCCACCTTCACTCCCTCACTCACAAAACCAACATCCCATCGGTTGTTTCCAATTCTAACCGTGCCTGGTGGCACGCGGTGAATCTACAGCACCTTGGAAACACCTCACCTTGACAGGCAAATGCTGCAGACTTTATCTGTTCCATAACAGTCGCACGTCAGGACAGCCGGGCTCGGACTGGTGGTTTTCCTCATCACGCTAGCCACAGCTTTCGTAGACATGGTCACACTAGCCACAGCTTTTGTAGACACGGCCGTCTTTTTTGTTGCTGGCTTTCTTGAGATTATGTCCACAGTCTTTGATTGCTTTATGAGCTAAAAAAAAAGAAAAAAAAAGTTGAATTTTCTATGTTCGTGACATTTACCATGATGCCTTCAAATGTTGGCATGGTAAAAGCACGTTCAGAAGCATAAACTTCATTCAAAACTGCTGAAGGAGATACCAGACTGCAATTCAACAGTTGTCCATTAAAATGTTTTAGGGTCACTGGGCATGGTCAGACATGTTAGTAATAGCTGAACTAGGAGGGCTGAGGCAGGAGGATCCCAAGTACGATGTCAATCTAGGCTATGTAATAAAAGCCTGTCTCCACCAAAAAAAAAAAAAGAAAAAAAAAGTTTGGCTTTTTCGGGGGTTTTCTAATGCCATTCAAATTTACTAATTAGTTTGGCAGACTTTATTAGAACTTTCCTGAAACTCTGGAGAAGAACTCTAACAGTACTAAGAGTTATTAATTACTAAGGCCTAACTCCATTTCACAACTGTATCCCTCAGTTATACTAAGTTAGTCTGTTAATTGAGCTAGTGCTGTCACAGGGTCCCTAAGTCAATTTAAAATCAAACAATCTGAAGGTTCTTTACAAGTATATTTACTCTACGTGTGGGGACTGTAAGGTGCTGAGAGCTCAGGAGAAGTTTAGCCCTGTTATGAATGTTCCAGAAAAGCAACAGCCAATCAGAATAAAAAACGCCATCAAAAAAGTTCAGAAAAAAAAACTAAAGACAATTGAATCGAATAAAAATACCTTCTGCCAAAGCTAAACTCTACAGCATGCTCTAACCCTAACTCCAGCGGATCCCCTGAGCTTGTCAGCGCGAGGCTGACGGGCAGGTGAGCTAGGAAGCTACATTACTTACTTTCTCTGCAGGGCTCTCATGTGAAATGGAGCTGTGTATATTGAAATTTCTTTCTCCAAAAACAGAGCGCTGAGCAGAAAGGCCTACAGATCCCTCCTACAATACCAACAAAAACAAGGAAAACAAGGGTTACATCTGTAACACTTTCTGCCAGCTGTACTCTGCCATACTTCTGAAAGAGTTAAGTGACATAAAACAAAATCAGCTGCAACCAAGACATTCTCAGGTACCAAAACACTGTGTGAAACGAGAAACTCATCTAGGCAACTTGTAACATTGTAATACCCACACAGTGTCACCATAGTTCACACACACATATACACAAGACCAAGTCTCTAAAGTCATTTGCACAGATGCTTCATTTCCCTGGGCAGCTAAAATGGAGATAGACACTTTGAAATTTTCCCTATAATGCATTTTAAAAAGGAGAAAGGACATCTACATTTTCTTTCTAACACACAGGGAATTTTTCCTGTTTTATCATATAATGTAATTTATAACAGCAAAGAATATAAGTTGACAAAGCAGGAAACTTTAGTTTGAAATAGAGTAAAAACTAACCAGCTGAAACACGTAGCAAAGGTTTTAAAGTCTTTTAAACACAAGCTATTCTAGTACTCTATCTCCCCCTGCTGGTTGATGGAGAACACTCCTAAACATTTCTGTATGAAAATGTAACAGGTAGAACCTTTGTGTCTTTCCCTTGTTTAATGTGAATTTGTGTGTTGGCGTAGGATCTTTTGACAGAAGTTTTTGCGGCACACTGCTGATCCAGATTTTTAGGAGCTGGGCGACTCAGTGAGCTCTTGTGTCCAGTGACTCCTTGGTACTTGCTCCGTGAGCAATCTTCCTGCTGAGCCTCAGACTGGACAAACTTGAGAAGTTCTATTTTTGTGTCATGGGTTCCTTGGGCCAAACCAAAGTCCACCAAGGCATACCTAAGCAGCAAAATAATGTATTATCAGCCTCCTATAGCACCTTAACCTTAATAACATTGTAATGCTATCAAACCACATTCAGAAACTGCAGTTCATTCCAGAACAATAAAGAGTTTATAATTGGGGGGAAGGGAGGCCTGGAAAAATGGCTCAACAGTTAGAACTGGTTCCCTTCCAGAGGACCTGGGTTCAATTCTCAGCACTGACATGGCAGTTCACAAACATCTATAACTCCAGTTCCAGGGGATCCGACACCTTCATACCAATGCACACAAAACAAGGTTGAATAAATTATTTTTATTTTTGAGGCAGGGTTTCTCTGTGGCTTTGGAGGTTGTCCTGGAACTAGCTCTTGTAGACCAGGCTGGTCTTGAACTCACAGAGATCTGCCTGCCTCTGCCTTCCAAGTGCTGGGATTAAAGGCGTGTGCTAGAATTATAATAGTAAACAAAAACAAAAGAAAGAAAAATTCTAAAAACCTAATAGCTAAGACCGAAAATCAGAGAAAGGTGAATCCTTAAACGGATGGGTCAGTTAAGCACTCTTTCTAGTTATGGCCTGTGTGGAGACAAGAAGATGGGGATGAAGAGAAAAAGCAAAATCCTTGGCCGTTCAGCAGTGGGCAGTGGGCATCCCAATAGGTAATTTCTAATGAAACAATATAAAGAAATCACAGAAAAACAAGGGCTACAGAATCAAGTCTTAATTTTCTTACCATACTAAGTATGATATATAATGTAAATACTATCTTCAGCTTTAACATCTCTCCCACATTTAATCAACAAAAATACACATATAACAACTTTGGTGTTAAAACAGAAAGCTATGTTGTCCAGTGTTACCATTTACTAAAATGAAAATATAAAGCATAGAAACAAGGGCTCTAAGGTCAAAACTGGCTAAGATTCTAAGTTTTTTTCATCTAAGTGCATAGCTCACAATGTACATTGTGTATTTTCCTCATTGAGTTTTCGCTCCCCAATCACTATGAAAACTTAAACAGAACCCACGTGAACACTGTGGTTGTTTACATTGTACGTCTAACAGATAGACTTCACAGTGCAAATTCAGCTGTGAATGTTTTCTAGGATTCTTCCTACTTACTTTTTCAGGCGTCTATTGTATAAAAAGTTGCTGGGTTTCACATCACGGTGAACAATACCAAACTGATGAATCCGTTTTAAAGCTATGAAGAGATTAAACATATACTCCCGTACTTCTTGGAAGGAGAGAGAATTCAAAATGTCCTAAAACAAAGTTACAAATAAAGTTACAAAACTATTTCAACTAAACATTCAACTAGTTAAAGTTATAAAACTATTAAAACCTACCAAAAACGACTCATGTTCCAGATATGGCATGGCAATAACCACATGGTCGTTCTTCCGGAAGCAGTACTTAACTCCCATGACGTTGTCTTGCCCCCTGGTGGGAAAGGCACAGTGAACTAACTTTGGAGGGAAGGTGAGATGCACTGTCACTTTATGCTTTAAAAAATGAATTATTTAGCAACACATATGTACTAGAAAACGCAAAATCATATTAGTGAATATAAGCATTTAACTGACATAATCCCAGCACTTGGAGGCAAGAGGCAGGCAGATCTCTGTGAGTTCGAGGCCAGCCTGATCTACAGAGCGAGTGCCAGGATAGGTTCCAAAGCTACACAGAGAAACCCTGTCTGGAAAAACAAAACAATACAAAACAAACAAACAACAACAACAAAAAAGATAAAAATTTTCAAACAAAACTAGCACCAGTTACCCAAGGTTAAAATAGCACTCTAACCCTGAGATATCTACAGCTTTAACTTAGGAAGTAGCAGATGACTAGGCTTATTAGCAGGTAAGGTATTAGCAGCAGTAGGTGTTAAAAGTAAGTAGCGTTCATTGACTATCACTGTAATGTCAAAGCTCTGAAACACTCGGTCCAATGGGATACCTTCATCAAACCTCTCCTGCCGGGGTCCAGGGACTACACACAAGAGGAAGCAGGAGGATCGAGCTCTAGAGCCAGAGGGGCTGGATGACCCCAAGGAAACCCTCTTCCAGACACAGACTGAAGCATGTATAAACTCACAGAACCAGCAGCACACACAAGGCCTGCGCAGGTTCAAGTCAGAGGGGGTCCCAGAGCTATGGGGATGATGGCCGACAGCAAAGAAACTCAATACATTTTTTGTAGATATTTTGTCGCATGTTGTCTTGTTTGGGCTTTTTTTTTTTTTTTTTGGTCTTACTAGTCTTTTGCCTATATATTATGGTTTCTGACCTTGTGTTTTTGTGGGTTTTGTTGGGTTATGTGTGTTGCTTGAGTTTTTTTTTCCTTTTTCATTTCACTTTGTCCATTCACTCAGAGACCCTCCTGCCTCTGCCTCCCAGCTTCTGAATGAAAGGTGTGCACCACCATGCCCAGCCTTAGTTCTTTTGTTTGTTTGCCTGTTTGTTCGCTTTCTATAGAGAGAAAAAGGGCGTGCAGTTGGGTAGATGATGGGGAAGTCCTAGAAGGAACCGGTGGATGATCAGAATATACTGTATGAAAAATTTTCAGTTAAAAAACAAAACCCCAGCCGGGCGTTGGTGGCGCATGCCTTTAATCCCAGCACTTGGGAGGCAGAGGCAGGCGGATCTTTGTGAGTTCGAGGCCAGCCTGGTCTACAAGAGCTAGTTCCAGGACAGCCTCCAAAGCCACAGAGAAACCCTGTCTCGAAAAACCAAAAAAAAAAAAAAAAAAAAAAAAACCCCAAACATCAACCTCACAGCGCCCTCATGGAAAAGGTTATCCTCTACCCCTTTCTAGAAGCGGAAACGAGACAAGGAGAACGACCCCAAAGTCAGGAAAGGAGTTACATCATGAAGGTATGATTGAATCCAGGCAGTCTCCTCTAGGTGTATACTCCTATTCACTACGCTAGACTTCTTTGAACAAGGTAGGGACTTTAGAGGGAAGGTCAATGCAGTTATCAATGAAGCAGGAAAACCAAAGGAGGAAGCGTCTAAAACCAAGGACCACACATTAACCTCCACACTTTTCACAGTGGGAAGCCAAGAGATACTTTTTTGGGGCCCAGGCTCTCACACTGTAGTTTGGTCTGGCTAGAAACTAACAGAGATCCTCTGCCTTGGCACTGTTGGGAATATAGGCACGCCAGGTTTGGATGATGTCAGTTAGGAGTAACATGAAGAAGATGAGGATGGTATCTACGTGTCTGGCTTGAGCAACTGAGGCAGATAAGGATATTTGCTGGACTGGTTATTTTCTGGCTAGGCAAGACAGGTTAAAATTCAGGGGTGTATGTGCACATCTGGGTATGGGTGCAATACACAGAAAGACAAATTATCGCATTATCTTATCCAATAAAGTGGATTCCATAGAGTAGGAAGTAAAACAGGGTTGTTAGAGGGCAAGGTTAGCGGGCAGGGCATACAAAGAGGTTCCATAAGTTATCAAAATAATCTGGCTAACAGCAATAGGCCCAGTGTTCTGCTGTACAGTAGGGTCACTACAGTTTAGAGCAACTTATTTACACGTTTCATCTGAAGGTTTAAAACACACACAAAAAAGATAAGTCTTTAAGGAGAATTATGATTGGACCTGATTTGATCATTATACATTATTTGCATGTATAAACTCTATAGATGTGTGACTATTCTGTGTCTATTAAAAAGTCAATTGTGTTCAACAAAGAGAGCAACAACTGAGTGTGCAGTCAAAGAGAAGCGTGTAGCTAAAAACGCACGGCACATGTCTTTAAAGAGAGCAACGGAACAAGAATGCAACTAGTAGACCAGGACAAGGCAGCGCAGGTGAGCACTGGTCTTCTCGTCCACACCGGCAGGGTTAACCAACAGAGAGAGACTAAGGGGAAGGACACGGCAAACAACTCTACCCTAAGAAAAACACAGGAGACGAGGCTGCCAGTACTTGAGACGTAAATAGTTCTTCCCACTGAGAACAACCCCAACCATAAGCAAAGGCTGGCTGGGTTACAAACAGATATGAAAATAAGAACAGAAGCCATGCTGGACCCCAAGAGAAATCCCCTCTAAAGGGACTAATGGAAATCTACCCATCAAAGCTATGGGGCAAAGCACTAGCCAAGAGCCAACAGGTGACTGGGAACTTTAATTCAGGTACAACCTCGTTGTTCCTGCTGGACTTCTGCATAGACCACAAACCACACTTAGCCAGTTCAGCTGTAAGCTGCCTACCCCGCAACGGTCAGACACTGGAGCTCTGCTGCGATTCTTACAGGGTGGCTTGTTGGAATCAAGTGCTTCAGGGCAATCTTCTCTTCGTGGCCTACTTGCAGCTGTGCCGTGGCCAAATAGACAGAGCTGAAGGTGCCTGCAGAGCAATTTAGTACATTTTTCAGTGTAGGCTTTAAAGATGTCAAGGTGAACAGTGCTTTTAAGAGATTAATAAGTGTCTTAATGGGATAATAGATTAAGTTATGACTGCTTGTTTTATTCTAAATATTTATTACTTTCATTCTTTCCAAGAGGGAGAAAATCTGTTACCACAGTTACTAACATTACCATGGTTTCAACAGTTTAACAACAGTAAAATATACCCTTAAATTACCTTCTCCAATTTTGTCCTTAATTTTGAACACATTGACAAGCTGAGGTACAGCTTCACAAAGCTTCTCAATGTCTTTTTTAATGCCTATGAGGGAAGTAAGAATTTATAGTTAGAATCAACAAGAGGTACTTTAGGTTTTTCTGTTGTTCATGTTGGTTTGGGACAGGGCAGCTCCCCTCAATCCCAGAAACTGTGCTGGGATGAAAGGTATGCACCACCACCACCAGGCTTGGACAGGGCCCTGTTACAGCCCACGCTGGCCAAGGCTTGTGGTTCTCCCACTGCTGTCTCTCAGGTACCATGACAGGAATTTGCCATCATGGCCCCAGCTTATTATAAAAGATAAATCAACAAAATACATTTTAAATCAAGTAATTGACCACAAAATGAAAACCCTATAGGTTGCTAAAAAGTTGCAAGTTGCAAAATGTTAACTAGCAGGAAAAATAAAAAGCCCCAAAATTAAGCACGGCAAATTTCTACTGTATTGGGGCCACACACTAAGAGATGCTGCTAGCACACAGTTGGCCTTTAAGATGAAAATGCTAAGTTTAGAGCAAAAAAGGCCTGAAGCTGGGCAAGGGGGTGAATCCAACAGTCCAGCTACTAAGGACCTGAGCCCAGGAGAGGGGTATGCTAGTACATGCTGTTACTTCCAGAGCCTAGGACATACCCACAAGAGGGTTAGGAGTTCAAGACCAGACTGGGATACATAGTGACTTTTAGGCCTGAGTGTCTCAAAACAAATACCCCTCAAAAATTTTTTTAAAAAAATGCAATGTATGCTGTCATCACTAGATGGCATAATAGGGGCACAGTGCAATAATCTAGAAAACAATTTCCTTTATCAGACAAAATCTTACAGGCCAAAAAAGGTTAGACACAGAAGGGCCAGTCTGTACTTAGACAGTCTTCTAAGCTCTCTAGTTTGAGGGGGGCAAGATCTCATTAATGTGTCCCCTAAGTTAATGGCATCCTGCTTTTGACCCCAGAAAACTGCTAAATAGTATACATAGCTAAAATAAGTTGAAGCAGTGACATAAAACCCAATAAACTACTGACACAAAAGACAAACACGCAGGCGTCTTCAGGTTCAGTGGTAGACCGGAAGCCAAGCGCGGAGCTGGTCCCTGGTGATTACACCCCAGTGCCTCCACACTCACCGCCCCTCAGGTGCCTTCCTCCCTGCAGCAGTGTGGCCAGCACTCAGGGCTCACACAGCCAAGGGCTTCCCATCCCATGGCACTTGGTTTCTGACAGTCTTGCTATATGTGGCTCAGGCTGGTCTCAAGCTGGCATCCCTCCTCCTCCTCCTTCCTGAATGCTGGGACTCCAGGCACACGCCACTGCTTGGCCCTCAAATCTACTTATCAGCACTAGGAGGTTGGCACAATAAGAAGGAATATCTTGCCAGGCACAGCAGCACACACCATTAATCCCAGCACTTGGAAGGCAGAGGCAGGCATCTCCATGAATTCTAGGGCAGCCTGGTCTACACAGCAAGTTTGAGGAAACTGGCTAGCGTGTAGAGTGAGACCCTGTCTAAAATCAGATATAGAAACTTAGTCAGCAAGTTACATCACTTGCTCAGCTTCAGAGACACACCACCGACGCTTAAAACCACTCACGCATAATCACTACCTTTAAAAATGTTCGGCAACGAGTATACTTTTAAAATGAATAAGCTGGGTTAGCTGGGTTTCTCCAGGAATTTTAATCTAGTAGAAGACACAGACGTTATTACTCTTTCTGTTTGTTTGTTTCCAAGACAGGGTTTTTCTGTGTAGTTCCGGCTGTCTTGGAACTCACTGTGTACACCAGAAAGGCCTCAAACTTACAGAGATCAGCCTGCCTCTGTCTCATGAGCGCTGGGATCAAAGGTGTGCGTCACCAACGCCCAGCCTAACTGGGTTGTGCTCTAATGTGGAAAAAAGGACATTTTAAGAAAGAAGGAACTATGTATGTGGAGACACTAAAAAAAGGAATGAATGATTGGGATGAGAAGAATTAATGAAATACAATGAAGCCAAAAAAGGGCAAAGAAGAGAATGTAAGTAATTGGGACAGAAAGTTTAAAGTAGAAAAATGACAAGAGGTAAGACAGATTTGAAGAGGAGGAGGAACACCAAGAAGCAGAGATCAAGCAGAGTCCAAGGCCCGGCGCAGTGTTCTTTCTCCTACAATGAGCCACTCAAAGCAACAACTGAAGCTGCCCTCGCCTTCCCCTCTGTGAGGCAGGTGTGATGGAGATTCTAGTTTCGCTACAGGAGGCAAAGCAACATGACACTGGAAACGGAGGACCTACTGAACCCCGTCCTCTCACGTCACCCTTGAGCACGGAACTCCTGTCTAGAGGTGTACACTTATCGTCATCACCATTCCTGCAGGGTTAGGACAAACCTGTGCTCACTAGTAAAGTGCGCTACCACTGAGCTACACTACCAGCTGTTGTTTTATATCTACTGAATAGAGGTTGGGATAAAAATAGTTTCCACGTCTTTTGGGTATTTAGAGGACTAAAATAAGTGTACACACACTTTACACAAAGTTTATCACATAGTAAATGCTCAATGTATGACTATGTTAATTCTTACTATTATAGTTACACTGGGGGAGGAGGTGTTGAGACAGCGTCTCTGCAGTCCTGACTGTCCTGGAGTTTGCTATGTAGACAAGGCTGGCCTCAAACACAGATCCTCTTGACTCTGCCTCCCAAGTAAGTGAAAGGCTGTGCTGCCATTTCCAGCTACAGCTAGCTTGAGGACATTAATTAACCTTTTAATCACTGATTTATCTCTTACATCTAAAGAGCCTGCATATAATAGATACTTAGTATGCATCCATCACTCAGATATGTTTTCAATCTCACCATGGAGAAACAGTGTAGAGTATGTCAAAACTAGTTATCTTTTTGGACAAGCCTAAATTGACTTAAAGACAAAGATGATGGTTAGCTTTGGGGGAAAAGCATAGGCGCCTGGGACTCTTCTGTTTAAAAACACGCATGTTAAATGAACACCGCCACGTGGGCACCGGGCACAAGCTGTAAGTAGAGACACTGCTTCTGCGGGAGGGGCTGAGGCAGGGTCTCAAGCAGCCCAGGCTGGACTTGAAGTCCTATGCGGAGGCCTCGCCCTCCAGCTGAGTTTAGGGAGGTGAACCACCATGCCCAGCTCGAGGGGCTCACTCCAGCTTGTAAGATCCTGTGTTTTCCTTGAATAGTGAGCAGTGTTCTGTCACTACTACAAACCATCCCACTCATTTCTTCCGCCTGTGTTCTGCTTCTGAACACTGAAAATCCCTCCCCTCCCTTCCTAAAGACCCAGCTTTTCTGAGGTAAACCAACGGGACGCCTCTGCAAGAGAATTCCCAGTTTCTGCGCAGGCATCAACAAGCATGCTCCCCTACAAAGCCTCTAGCATTTGGACCTAACCAACTTCATCGAAAAAGAGACAGCTGGATTCTGATCCTCTTAAGATGCAATCCAATCGTGGGTCTGGATGTTATGACTCTACACGGTCACGTGAAATCCTACGCAAACAGGCAACTCACTTATGAGTCAGGTGAGTGTGGGTTTGTTCTTTTTTCATTTCTGAGGTTGTAATTTAATCACAGTTCTCCCTTCTCTTTATTCCTAGCTTTGATGCCGAACAGCAGGTTGCCCGTGCATCTTCGGAACTGTACACCTGGGGTGTTACACACACACACACACACACACACACACACACACACACACAGATACCTGAGAGTTTACACACACACACACAGATACCTGAGAGTTTACACACACACACACACCTGGGGTGTTACACACACACACACACAGATACCTGAGAGTTTACACACACACACTCACCTGAGAGTTTACTGGGGTGTCACACACACACACTCGCACGCACGCACGTACCTGAGAGTTTAACACTCTGCTCATATTTTTTTTAAGGAGTCGTCGGCGGGACTCCTGTCGGCGCCACGCAGGGGAGAGAACGCCATGGGCTCCTCCATCTCGGCACCCGGTGAGGAAGCTTCCAGCACGCACAACCGGGATGGGCGATGCCGGCTACCGAGTCATGTCCGCGGGGCGGGGGCGCAGCCGCTGTGAGAACCACAACCGTGTGAGACAGGGTGAAGCCACTCACTCAACAACCAACACCTACGGCCCTCACAGGAAAAAAACATTTAAAAATACCCCCGCGTCCAAAGAACAGCCTGGGGGGGGGGCGGGGGCGGGCGTCGCTGGCCGGGGCTCGCCCGCTCGCCCGCCGCTGTGGGGGAGGGAGCGACGGCGGTTTGACCCGAGCAGACCCGGGAGGAAATCGCTCGCCGGGGAGGCTGTCCCACCGCCCCGCTCAAACCGACCGGACCGACCGAGGGCGGCTGGGAGCCAACCCAGCGGGCAGTGAATGAATGAGACAATGAACGAACGAATGAATGGTCCCCCGAGGGCGGAGGGCGAGCGCCCTCACGCCAACGGGGAGCTCAGTGCGCAGGCGCGCCCCTTTCCCGCCGCGGGTTCAAAAGCGCAGAGGCAGGATGCTCGGCGGGGCGACCGTGGAGAGGACGCGCTCCCGAGCCTCACGGCCCGGAGCTGCGGGGGAGCAGACACTCACGGTTGACGCAAGTCCGGGGGTGGGGGAGGCTCGCACGGTCGCAGCCGCCGGGAGGGAGCGCTCGCCCGCTCGCCAGCCCGCCCGCTCGCCCGCCGAGCCAAGGCACCGACCGCGCCTGCGCGGAGTCTTCCCGCGCTGCTAGGAACTGCCCATGCGCACCCGCTAGCCCTGCGCGCCCGAGGCCCCGCCCTAAAAGGGGGCGGGGTTGACGGAAGAGGTGTGGTCTCACTTCTTGGCTCGGTCCGCCTTTGGTTTTCTTCCCTGCACGAGTAGGCGTCCCTGCTGTCTGTCTGTGGCTCTTTATTTTATTTTTTCCTAGGGCGAGCACGGCCGTCAGAAGCCGTCCCAGCGTCGCGTCTTTTTAAAAACAAATATAACCCAGTCTAAGCGTGCAGGACTGCGGGGCGAGCGTGGATGGGGGCTCCGGCCGCTGGCTGCGTCCCCGGTGGGGGGATGGACTCGCTGTCAAGGGTTCCGTAAGGGGCGGGGCCGGGAAGTCACCCGCCCACCCCGGGGCTGGCACACGCTGGGCGAGCGAGCTCTCCACCTACCGCTGCGGTCTCAACGTTTTGACAATTTTTGTTGTTGTTTTTGTGGCGTTTGCGGCGCTTTTTCCGTTGCTGTTTGTTGCTGCCGGTGTCCCTCGTCTCCGAGGAATCGTCGCCAAGTTTAATATGGGTTTTTGTTGGTTTTTTTCCCCTCCCTCCCAGAATTTCATACTTCTAGCTCTCGTGGGTCGCTCTTGAGTCCCGTTTTGAGTAATTTTTTTTAAAGGTGTGAGTGGGGGGCGGGCACTCACGAGCCAAACACACCTTTTTTTGTTGCTGTGGAGAGCCCATGGCTATGGCAACTCTTGTAAGGAAAGCATCGGAGGTGTAGTCCATTATTATCATCACGGCAGGAAGCAGGGCGGCGTGGCAGGCGTACTTGCAGGAGGAGCTGAGAACTCTGCCTGCAGACCAGCAGGAAGCAAGGGGAAAAGAAAAGGGACCCTGGGCCTGGCTTGAGCTTTTGAAACCTCAAAGCCCACCCCCAGTGACAGGCACGTCCTCCAAGGAGGCCACACCTCCTAACAGCGCCCCTCCCCGGTGACTAAAGCCGGGACCCATTCCTGTTCACACCCACCACAACTGGTGTATGCTTGCTTTCTGCTCAGAGGCAACTTCCTTTAGAACTCCCAAGTCCAGGTTTATTCAACAACGGGCGCCTCCACCCATGCTGCCCGAGTTAGACTCCCACAAGATCGAAGTTGTGTACCTGGGGTACGCTGGAATCTAGTTGGCACCACCTCCTCCTTGGCGCCCAAAATCAGGCCCCAGAGTCTCAAAAATAAAATAAAATAAAAAAACATGTTGGTGCTGCCATCACCAAAGCAACCGATCATTGGAAAAGCCCTGGTGACAGTGAAAGGGACCTCTTAAGGCAGACAGACCCAGATGAGGCGGTTCCTTCTGCCTCTGCCCTGATCATCAAAGCCCTCAAGGAGCTACCAAGAGACAGAACCAGGACGACATTAAACGCCGTGGTGGAAATACCACTTTTCATACGCACCCAACAGATGCAGCACTGGTCCCCAGCCAGAGAGCATTCTAGAACTGTGAAGGAGACACTGGGTATTCCGGCAGACATCCCATATGGCAACAACAGAGTTGCAGTAGATGTCCGTCTTGTTAAAGAAGGAACAAGAGAAAATAGCTCAATTGAAAAGATGTCATCTCACAGTAGGAATGTCTTACTTTTTATTTTGTCCGTGAGGGTTTGCCTGAACGTATGTATATTCATTGTGCATGCCTAGTGCCCACGGAGGACAGGAGAGGGCATCCCATCCCCTACAGCCACAGATAGAAGCAGCTGTGAGCTTTTTTTGGTGGGTGCTGGGAACCAAACTTTAGTCCTTTGCAAGAGCTTGCAAGTGTTCTTTAAAAAAAAAAACAAACAAAAAACATCATTTTATTTTATTTGCATGGTATGAATGTGTCACAGATCCCCTGGAATCAGAGCTACAGACAGTTTTAAACTGTCATGTGGGTGCTGGGTCTTGAACCCAGATCCCCTGGAAGACCAGTCAGTGCTCTTAACCACTGAGTCATTCCACAACTTCTGAGTAAATTTTTACATATGGTGTTAGATAAGGGTCTCATCTTGTTCTTTTTTTTAAAATGCTATTCTTTTGTTTGTACATACTCAGTTTTACTATGACACTCACCAATATTTTTAGGTTTTTTTTAAACCATAGGTAGGGTTAGGTATCAAAGGAAATGCTTAGCTTAAATTCCATTTAACTGTATAAGTAACTCCATTCACTGTAGTTAGAAGATACTCATTTTTCTCTTGTTATTTTATAACATAGTTGAAAGAGATACATCTGAATTAATTTTAAAACAACTGCTTAGAAGGAAGTCTGCTCATCATAAAAGTTATCTGTCTGCCTTGTTTGTTTATCCGCCCTTTCATGTGACATCTGTGGATAAATGTGACCCAGTTTCAGAAATCAAAAAACATGAAGACTGGGGAGTTCTGAGAGGAGCATCTAGAAATCTAGCAATACAGAAAAAAAAAGAGAAAACAATACTGTGACTGCATTGAAGGTGACCGAAGTTCACAAACTAAAAATAGAACGCTCGCCCCCAAAAGACAAGTATCTCAAACACTGGGAAAATCATGTTATCATTACTAAAGTTTAGAGATTCAGTCAGATTCACATTTAAATACCCAAATGTAAACACGAAGACAGAGGTCAAGCATCATAAGCTGGAATGGCAGGTCTTGCTCCCAGGGACTGAAAGTTGACCTTCTAGCCAGTTCCAACACTGGCTGACAGCTTCAGTTCAGCCATTAGTGTGCAAAAATGAACGCCCACCTCAGTGAAGTCAGGATGGCTTCACTTCCAAAGTGCTTGTCGTCTTTAAAAGGGTTTGTTTAAAGTTTTGAAATATTCCTAAAAACTCCGAGGTGAACGTGCCCTTTTGCTGGAAGAAATAATGCTTTAAGGTCATGTCTTTTTTTTTTTTTTTGGTTTTTTTTCGAAACAGGTTTTCTCTGTGGCTTTGGAGCCTGTCCTGGAACTCACTTTGTAGACCAGGCTGGCCTCGAACTCACAGAGATCCACCTGCCTCTGCCTCCCAAGTGCTGGGATTAAAGGCATGCGCCACCAACGCCCAGCTCCTTTTTTTTAAAGCATATCAAATGCTGCATTAAACCTTTAATATTCTTGTGTGTTTTCAAATTCCAGCTAACTTTAACTTACAAATTAAACATGTGGATGCCTGTTCACTAAGGCAACTTATTGAAACACAACTTTATACAGTAACGTTGACTGAGACGTATAACTAGTGTGTTTCCCAGAAATGGAACAGTTATTTCTTTAGTTTTAAAATGGAAATTTGCCCCCCCCAATAAGTCTGTAAATGTCTGCCTCCAAAACAATGATATGGATAGGAAATTAACTGATAATTCTCTTCAGTTTGATATTGGGCATCGCAGAGTCACAACACATAGCTCTGAGGATTAGACCAAATTCTACCTGCTTTTGTACATGCTCCCAGTAAAAATGAATGCTTTCAATTGTTGCATTTTGAAAATTATTAAATTTTTAAATAATATTTTATGTTGCATTACAATCTTTTAAAATCCAACTTTTAATGTCCATAAGTTTTACACTCATTTGTTGTACATACTTCCTATGACCACTTCTACCCTTCAGTAGTTGAGTTGAGTTGAGTGCTTATTACAGAGTTGTGTAGTCTTCAATATAAAATTCATAGTTACTATTTGGCCTTTTGTATGTGGGGTATACATGTCTGTGGGTACATTTATGTGTGTGTGGTGGGGGGTATACATGTCTGTGGGTATATTTATGTGTGCGGGGGATATACATGTTTGTGGCTATATTTATGTGGGGGGGTATACAAATCTGTGGGTATATTTATGTGTGTGGGGGTATACATGTCTGTGGGTATATTTATGTGCCTGCTTGTGGAGGACAGAGAACATTCTCGGATGCTCTTCCTCAGGTGCCATCACTTTGTTTTTGGGGACAGGGTCTATTATTGGCCTGGGGCTTGCCAATTAAGCAAGAGAGGTTGGTCATTGAACCCCAGGGATTTGCCAGCCCCTTCCCCAAAAGTCGGATTATAAGCATGTGACACTTTGCCTGGCTTTTTCTTTTTTAGATATGGGTTATGGTAATTAAATTCAGGTCCTCATTCTTGTAAGGCAAGTACTGCCTTAGGTTTCTATTGCTTTGTAGAGACACCATGACCAAGGCAATTCTTTTTTTTGGGGGGGGGTTTCGAGACAGGGTTTCTCCATATTGTTTTGGAGGCTGTCCTGGAACTCACTGTATAGACCAGGCTGGCCTCAAACTCACAGAGATCTGCCTGCCTCTGCCTCCCGAGTGCTGGGACTAAAGGCGTGCGCCACCACCACTTGGCTACCAAGGAATTCTTACAAAAGAATGTTGGGGGGTCTTGCTTACAGTTTCAGAGGCTTAGTCCATTATCATCATGGCAGGGAGTGTGGTCCTGGAGCAGCAGCTGAGAGCTTTGCATGCTGATCTACAGGCAGGGAGGGAGAGAGAGAGACAGAGACAGAGACAGAGAGACAGAGAGAGACAGAGAGACAGAGAGAGACAGAGACAGAGAGTCAGAGAAACAGAGAGACAGAGAATCAGAGAGAGAGAGAGACAGACAGACAGAGACAGAGAGAGAGTCAGAGAGACAGAGAGAGAGACAGAGAGTCAGAGAGACACAGAGAGAGAGTCAGAGAGAGAGAGAGAGACAGAGAGTCAAAGAATCAGAGAGAGAGAGTCAGAGAGACAGACAGAGACAGAGAGACAGACAGAGAGAATGAATGAGGGAGACTTCCTCCAGCAAGGCCACACCTACTCCAATAAGGCAACCCTTCTAAACAGTTCTCCAACTGGAGACTAAACAAATGTATGATCCTATGG